TTTTGGATACACGAACCAACTACGCGTGGAAAATTATAAATATCTAATTACTAGACTAAGAGTATACACACACCTTATACATCATTTTCAAACCAAGCATAGTAGGTACATGTATATAGTTCTTAAATTAGCATGAGGTACCAACTGTGTGACTTCCCACTGGGCTATATGATCCGTATGTTTCTTGAGTTAGATAAATAAGAGAGATAATAGTCTGCTATATTCATAAGGTGTGTGTTTACTATTTTATATTTGTTAAATATTTGATATTTTATCAATGTTTAGCCATGTAAGCCGCAAAGAAGATTGTTTCCTTTCCGGGTACAAATAGATGGAAATTTTGCATATATTTCTGTAGTATCGGGTGTATTGTTTTAAACCGACCCAAGTAGGGATTTCGGACCTAGACCTACTTATGCTTATATATTTCTGTATAACAAGCATAAATAAATATAATCTTTCTATATCATATTTTTACCAAAGCCAATTACAAAAACTTTCGGATCCCTCTCAATATTGATATTCATATTTTCTCTCACATTTTTTATTAAACATGTTCACAATATCTAGGGCTCTTGTATTTTGGAATGCCTAGGAATGAAAAGTTGGTTATTACTTTTCAATATAATCTCCCTTCATCTTGATGCACTTTATCCATCGCTGTTCTAATTAGTGTATCCCTTAAAAATAGAAGTCTATATCCTGGTCCCCCAACTACTCATTTACTGCATCTATGACACCTTTATTGCTTCCGAATTTTCTAACAAAAAGGTTAGATTTCAGTTTTGGGAACAGATAGAAGTCAGAAGAGGCTAAATCAGGAGAATATGGGGGATGAGGGCGCATTTAATCACAGCAGCCATGGCAACTTGCGACGTGTGTGCAGGTGCATTTGGTCAGTTTTACACACCCTTCTCGTCTTTAGAGAGACTTCCTGGTGTAATAATAAGCGTTGGAATCTTATTTTCTCAACCAATGACCTTCGATAAGATAAAATTATCGACTGATTTGGATCGTCTGCCAATGTATTGAATCAAAGTATATTAGGCCGAGAACTTTTTGATCACACTTCGTTTTTGCAACAGTCTAACATAAAAGACCCAGGCATTGTCATAGATATCAAGGGGATGAGGTCCCTGGGGGACAGCCACGCTTAACAATGCGGGGACGTTTGGGGATATGCCATGGCTACCCATCGACACCATCTAGTTTACTATGGACAAAATTTTGGTAGAAAAGTCCCCAGGATTGTGGCAGATATAGACCGACAAAATTTAGCATCAGAATGCACAAAACAAGCAATTTACTTCGAAACATCCCTTCGCAAGTACTAACGGGAGACGATGACAACGCACAGGTATTTTAATCAAGTTTTAGTAGTTAATTCGGCGATCTATTTTCTATTCCTCGATTAATTATATATATATAAGGGTATTGGAGGCAACGGTTCCGGCTCACTGTACACTGCGTCTGCCCAGTTTCCATCATAAGCCGTCGCTATACGGTAATAGTATTCCTTCTGACTCTCTTTCTCCGTGGAATCCACCAATTTGAGATCTGTTGCTCCAAGTAGGGACTGTTTTGTGTTAAGGTTGAACACAGTCGCCCACGCTCCTGTTTCAGTGTTATTCAGTCGCTCTAGCTTAATGAACGCCTTGGCTGCGTACGGAAGTTTATACGTCACCACGACTTTCTTCGTTCTTTCTTCCAGGAGCATTCCGGTTATAGAAGCACAAGGGGGTGGAAGAGTCAAAGGAAAATGTGGACTATATGCAGCAAACTCCCATTTTTCTGTACGACTCACACGCAGACGATAATAAAAAACCCGGTTGGTTTTTTCCTTTGCGTCGATAAGCACCGTCTCTCTGCTTTTCCCTTCCTGGCCTTGACCGACTGCGAATTGGGACCGGTATTGGGCGACGTCTTCCCATTGCCCGTTATGGTCTTCTGAGCGCTGCAATGCTATATATACATCACCTTGGTATTTCACCTTCACGGAGGCCGTTAGCGAAGGTTCTTCCAAAATTACCCCCGAGATGCTTGCCTCTTGTGGGCGAAGGTCCGATGAAGGAGTGACGTCGCTGAATCGTACGTTTTCTATGCTCAAAGGGTAGATTACGCTAACAGAATCAGTGGTGTAGGATAAACTGGCCGCCTCGTTTTCACTGCAGGGTAGCGATATGTGCGTTACTTCGCTGTAAGTGGCCCTCAGCATTTTGTTATTCCGAGATATTGCCACACGATAGAAACACACCGGATTTTTCTTCTCTGAAGCATCGACAAAACTCCAAACCTTAATTTGGTCTTTTTTGCAAGTTTCTTGGATAACGCGCCACAGGGCCAGGGTTTCATCGTCACTCCTTTGGAGTTGCGCACGCACTTTTCGATCCTTGTATATCTCTTCAAACTGGAACGGCACAACAACATTGCAGGTCCCTGGAGTGACGTATACAGTGCCGATCTCAGGTCGGGGAGTTTCTAAAAAGACGAAACGATAAATAAATTAAAGCACTTATTGCAATGTTAGCTAGTCGGCCTGGTGGCGGTTTTACAAGGTCAAAAGTTTGAGGGCGCTTTCAGATTCAGATATCGTACCAGCTGGGTCGATCTAAATCTGCAGGTATTCTCGCTATTAGTGAAATAACTGAAATCGGTTTAATTGCCAGACACAATGCTATATAAACATCACCTTGGTATTTCACCTTCACGAAGGGCGTGATGCTTGCCTATTGTGGGCGAAGGTCCGGTGAAGGAGTGGCGTCGTTGAATCGTAGGCCTACGTTTTCTATGCTCAAAGGGTAGATTTCTCTGTAACCGAATCGACAGAATCAGCAGATTTGATTATCTGTGTCTGCTGAGTCAAAAGGTTCAGGAGAAAGGGTCATTGCAGGGCGGATCCAGGATTATTTGAAGGGGGGGGGGGGTCCGGAACGACAGGTCTCGATTGCGAAGCCGACCATCGGGGATCGGAGCCTGCTCAAGGGCCCCGAAAAATATTTGGTGTTTTAGAGAGCAAACAGTGCCCTTTGGTACGGTTTAGTACTATGATTTAGCAACCGAAGGACTCCCTGACCCACCCCCACCTAAATCCGCCACTGCACTGTGTAAATGTTATGAATACACGTACCTCGCAGGAAGTTCACGATTCTGATCACTTTTTCTATGAACGTCAGAGATGCATCAAGTGTTCCAACCGCAGTAGCTGCTGCAGATATCCCTGCGCCCATTTTCTTGCTTCAGAAGCCTAAGAGAAAAGGTTTAAAATGTATGACGATACTTTCCTTGACATCAATGCCTTTCCAGTATATAATGACATATGGGACTTCCCATGACTCATTGCCACAAAAATAGCTCGGGAAAAGATGTTTCGAAAAGAATAAATTAGTGATTCAATATACCACAAATTCGCTGTTAATGACCAAAATTATAGGCGCTTTAAACGGTATGACCTGCCTACTCGCTACCAAGGTTAGGTCGATTTAACTCTGCAGGAATTCTCGCTGTGCAATCAATGATATCGGATTAATTGTCGGGCACGCCCCCTTGAGCAACTTTGGGGTAATAAGCCGAACACGCACGAAAGTTTATTATCCCCTAGCTGCTTGAAGAGGCGTATTAGACAATTAAGCTGATTGTATTGTTTGCACTTAAGTGAGAATATCCTGCAGAGTTGGATCGACCAAGCTGGTACGATATGTGAATCTGAATGCGGCCTAAAACGACTGCCATTTCCAAAGTAGATGTAACAAATAAAACCTCTTTCGGAGATGTAATTCAAGGTGTTCGCGCAATGGCAATCTCAGGTTGTGTAGGCGTGGGTGGGTTGGTGGGTGGTTTGGGGGGAGGGTGCAGGGTACAGGGGTTTGTAAATATGTAAATATGACTATCCTGTCAAAGCTAGACTTGGGACGTTGTACCCGGCATCCTACACACTAATTGTCCTTAACCGCGACTGCAGAGGCAATTTTCACATTACACATATACATGTATTTCTACCCCTCCCTTTTCTTCAAATCCCATCCCCAGGCCCCCTTTTCTCTGCTTTTCCCTTCCTGTCCTTAACCGACTGCAAATTGGGACCGGTATATAATAATAATAATAATAATAATTATATATATATATATATATATATAATTTCACCTTCACGAAGGTCGTCGATTTCACAAATTAGGCCTACCCCCGTGATGCTTGCCTCTTGTGTGCAAAGGTCCAAAGAAGAAGTGGCGTCGCTGGATCATAGGGGCCTACGTTTTCTATTGCTCAAAAGGTAGATTATTTTATCGCCTAAGATCGCCTCTCCAGTCGCGATCGATGACAGGCAGGCCTATAATCTACGTTAGGGACTTTCCATGACTCATTTCCACAAAAATATATCGGGAAAAAATATGTTTCGAACAGACGATTGCAATCAATTATAGGCCTACTTTAGTCATGCTAACCAAATCACATTTTTTAATTAGTTCTTATTTTCACGTCAGTATTTATTCAATATGCCACAAATTGGCTGTCAATGGTCATAATTATAGACGTTTCAAACGGTATGACCTCCCTACTCGCTACCAAGGTAGCAAAATTTAATATGTGCATGCACTTCAGAGTTCTTTCTGACGCCTGCACAGTGCAGAAAACTCCCATCATTAAAATATAGACACATCTGTGAATATCTAGTGAAAAAGGCAATATATATATAGGCCTATATAATTGCTGTGGATTGACAGTCAGGAAACATAGGCCTATCTATAATCTACATGTAGGCCTATTTAAGTAAGACACAGGCCATGCGGTATAAATGGAACCTTCTCCCCAACCACAGATTTAAGTAATCTATGTGTAGATTTTCATGGAATATGGTATTTAGATGTAAATTGTATAGACTGAGATGACATTTGACTCCTAGCCTTAAATGGGTAATTGTGGAGTCTGATTGGGCACATCTCTCCTCTCCAGTCTGTGCATTTAAAGCGGAAGTGGATTTAAATGCGCAAAAACTGGTGCGCAATTCTCGGTAGACTCATGGGAAAATTAAATGGCGGATCCGGTGCACGTCGGTAGTAGCTGACAAGAAGCAAAAAAGTTGCAATTTCTCCAACAATCTAGCTGCCCACAATTTTATAATTGGAGCCTCAACGAGAAGTGTTTTAATGCCACACGAATGTACACCTACTTTGTTATGGGCCTCAAGGGATTCGTGTTATTCGCGGCGAAAGTATGGAGTTTCATTTGCTACTGTATACGAAGACAAATTCGATCGGTAAGTGAAATAAATGTCGTGCTTGTCCCGAACGTCGCATGCATGGAGTGATTTCTGCTGACATCGAGTGATACGTATGTGACAGTAACAGTGTCGCAATTATGTAGAATAAGTTCAGGTGCTGTTTTTCACTGAACTGAAACTTGACCTTATTCTGGTCAGTGTCATTTGCAAAACTGCAACGCGTCAACGATTTTTTAACGCAGACGGTTGCCATTGGTCGAACACGTAGGGACACTGATGATGTGTAGATAAGTCCAGGTGATTTAATGTGCCCGTGCTGCGTGACTACTAGCCATTAAATTTAGTCAACGTTTGGGCTGTTTAAAAATTGAGCGCGATGACAAACTCCGACAAGTGCTGTTACTATTAGTAAGATGATGTGCGAAGATGGTGTGCTTGGAAGTCATTAAATCATTGTACACGAAAAGTTTGCTTTTCAGCATGTTGTGCTGACTTTCAACTTGAAATAGTCAATTATTTTTGTTTTGTTTTTTAAATTAGTATTTAATATTTGACTAGAGTTAACCAGAGTAAACATTTCACAAGATAATTGACCTGGCATTTTAATTTTTTTTTGGTTTATAGTTTGAATTAGATTAAAGAGTAGTATATATCTTAAATCCCATTTTTGTGTCTGCAAACAGTTTAGCACATATATAACAATTGTATCATTCAGCATCATGACAAAAGTTTTAAACTCACAAGTCAGTGGGGTTGTATATCCTGTTGTCAGCTAATTGAGGCACACATGCAAAACTTTAAAAACTTTGATGTTGTTTAATTTGTTTTAATTTATGTATTGAAATTTCATATTGGTTTTCAGTATCCATCAATATTTTTTATTATTATCATGTGATATTTTCATCAGATTAATCCATTATGTCATATTTATCCAACATTTTTATGGGTTGCCACTAAGAACTCAACTTAATTAGTATGCTATGAATATACACAAGTTCATGACAGTGACCATAAATGATTAAGTGGATGAGAATTTACAATATGTTTTACTGTAATGCATTCTTTTCCTTTTTCTTTGCTACTCCGGCCTAGAAAAGAGTTGACAGTTTGTTTGTTAATGAGAATGATAATTTGGAAAGTCCTTCACAAATGTTGATGAAACTTTCAGGTTAGACAGTAAATTCAGGAGTGAAATAAGTAACTACAATTTTAACCTAATCTAGATCTCTTATAATAATATAAAATTATGCTTTCTTGCCTTTTTCCTTGGTGGATTTATTCCCTCTCAAGCTCCCAGGTGACAATTACGTAACACTTGTTTAACTCAAATACTAAATATAGAACACTTGTTTGAAGCAAGCTATAATTACATTGCACAATTATTACCTTTACATTGGATATGGAAAACATAAATTTCATAGATTTAGATATATTGATTTTCAGAAGGCACAGCTTATGTCACTTATGGATTATTTCATGCCTGTGTAGAACTTCAGAGTGTGTGTGTGTGTGTGTATGTGTGTGTGTACATGTGTGATTGGTAAGTAATGGGAGCTGAATGGATATACATGTATATATATTTATATATATTATCCCTGGAATTATGAATTCTTTATGAGGGCATTGGTGAAAAATGGAATAATGCTGTTTTATATCGTAACATAAATCAAAGAAGTGTTGTTTACATGTTTTGGATTAGTTGATAGATGGGTATATACTATATATATATATATATATATATATATACATATATATATATATATATATATATATATATATATATTTATACGTGACCTCAATTGATCAATGGATATAAATATATCCGTGTGACCTCAATTGATAATTTATCTTTGGGTTTATTGACACAATCAATTATTCAGTTATAAATAGTTACAACTTTACATAGCCTGTTTATAAATACCTACTGGTACAACACTGAAAAACTTTTGGATTATCCCTCCAAAACCCAACAAAGATATTTTCGACTCTTCTGATACTAACCTGTTATGTGATACTACGTTTACACCTCTGCTCTGGTTTAAAACCCTCACCTGTGACCTTGAATTATTCAGTCATGTTATTTCTGTGGTATTGATCTATTTCAGGTGATACAACACCAAACAGTTAGATATGAGATCCTTCCCTTGTCTCCACTGTCTAAACACAGATTAAGTAAGTATTTGAAGACTGAAAAATAAAATCCCATTAGCTTTGTATGTGAGGTCCGTTGACTTAATATATATATATATATATATATATTTCAGATTTTGTCCCCCTTTCAGAACTGTTAACTGTTGGTCCATAATTTATTTATTTATTTTTTCTGTAAAAGATTTCCTTTTTATGATAGCACAGTGGCAAAAGTTATTTGCTGTGCAAAATAAAAACCTGAAATCATTTTAAAGGCCTTTATGGTCCTTTATCACCCCTTCTTGTATAACAAAGTGCATTTTTCTTTGATTTTATATGTGTATTTTTTCTGCATTGCAGGTATAGTGAAAAGAAAAACGTTGGTGTTAGATTTAGACGAGACGTTAATCCACTCCCACCATGATGGCGTACTGCGACAAACTGTCAAGCCTGGAACACCGCCAGATTTTGTACTAAAAGTATGTGAATCAGATTAAGATTTAAAAGTAGTATTTATTATTGTGTACACTTGTTAAATCCCATTTTTGTGCCTGCTGGAGTTTTAGCACACAATTATATAACAATTGCATCATTCAATATCGTGACAAGAAGTATGTGAAGCAGTTAACCTTTTGACAAGTCATATAAGATAAACATTCTCAGTTATTTTTAAGCTCAGAATAAGTAGTGCACCATTTTAACTCACTGGAGAAAAAGTTGAATTAAAATGTGTTTGGTTTTGATTTATGATTAAATTTCAGGTACTGTAATATTTGTAAGCAGCACTGATTTGGTGTGGCATTGATTTCAGAAATAAATGATCATAATTATTAATTCAAGTCATGTTGAAAAATGATATATCTACAGTTGAAGTTGCTTTTTTTTTTCTTTGAAGTTTGAATACAGCTTCTTATGCTAAAAACTAACTCCAAGTGTTGACATTGTATTTTTATCATTGCAGGTAACTATAGACAGGCATCCAGTTAGATTTTTTGTACATAAAAGACCACATGTAGATTTCTTTTTAGATATAGTAAGTAACCATCTACCTTCTATCCGACCCTCTTATTAATCAATGGCAAGCGATATTTCTATGCGTTTAAGATATGCTACATGTTAATACTCATAAGCTTCAAATATGTCAGAATGATGTCAACACCATTTACATATTTTGTCTTAGTGTAATTTTGAATGTTTGTTTATCTGTGTCATCCATTATCAAGAAGTGTAAAATCATATCTTCACTAAATAAAAAAAAAATGTTAGTGCACAAAAAATCTAATTGTGCTGGTGGTACATTCCCCAGAAGGCGGTTTTCAACTCTCTGACCCCTGTTATTTCCCTATATTTCAGGTCAGCCAGTGGTATGACCTGGTAGTCTTCACTGCAAGTATGGAGATATACGGGGCTGCAGTAGCAGATAAACTGGATCAGGGGAGAGGGTTTTTAAAAAGAAGGTACTATAGGCAGGTGAGTGGACAGGGGAATAATATGTAAAAACGGACTTGGGGGGGGGGGGGTAAAAAGAAGAAATGGATAGGGGTGTAATACGAGAAAAGTGGTGAAGGTGTTAAAATGAATTTTTTTTTGCAGAGCATTTGTAAGGCGCACCATGTCAGTAGGGTGTTGGGGTGGGTTGAAATGAAGAGACAATAGGCATGTACTAGTGGTTGACAAGTGTAATGTCATTAATTTGAAAACTTGACTGAGAAGTGAACAAAGTCAGTTGTAGCTGTAAGAAAGATCTGCAAATTGAAAGATATTTAGAGGTAAAACTGAGGGGTCTGTTTCCTTGTTGGGATTAATCACTTATAGCTGGGTATTTTGGTTTAAGTAATTACTAGTTGTACAACTAAACAGCATGAAGTAATTATGTTCTCCAAAACAAATTTTTTTGCCATATATAGTACATTATGTAATTTAGAGAGCAAAACATGTGGAAAAAGTTGGATTATGATAATGACAAGGTATTTGAAATTTTTTATAATAATAATGACAGTTTTAGATACCACTCAAAGTGCCTGAGTCTTTAATAAACATAACCATGTGTTAAATTCAGTGTGTTTGAGACATCGGCTTTCAATTATTTATTATAATTTTTTTTTCAATTCCAGCATTGTAATTTAGACTATGGTAGCTACACGAAGGACCTATCAGCAATAAGTAATGATTTGTCAAGTGTGTTTATACTGGACAATTCTCCTGGAGCATACAGAGCATATCCAGGTGAGAAACTAGGTCATTGTGACCCAGTTTGATGAAAAATAGGTCAGGTTGACCTGATTTTTTTTTACAAGTGGGGAAAAGGACTTTGACCCTGCTTATACTTCAAATCTCCCATGCATGAAGTATACATAACTTTAAAAAAACTTTTCTCTCTTTTCATTTTAGATTTAAAACGAATATTTCATTATTCTTCCAACACCCCTTTATTTTGCCCTTTTAAGTCGAATAATAATATTTCCCTGAAATGGCTTGGAAATAATGTTTACATGTTGTTTGTAATCTTATTAATTTATATGAACTCCACATGTCATATATTAAGTTTTGCTGAACTGTTGTGTAATTACATATCTTTGTATATCGTAATTTTTTTGCAGACAATGCAATACCTATCAAGTCATGGTTTTCTGACCCGACAGACACAGCACTTCTCAACTTGCTCCCTGTGCTCGATGCTCTCAGGTTTGTCAGTGATGCGCGATCAGTGTTGAGCCGGAACTTACATCTACACAGGCTCTGGTAGCACCCAATGTACGGAGATGGTACAAATATTCTATATAAAGTAAAAAAGCATAAAAATTCCTGGCTTGCTCTGCATCAGCAACAGCGGGACTGTACTTGGAAACAGCGTGTGGTTTCATAATTGCGGAGCAGCTGGGTTTTTCAGAATGAGGCTGCATTGCCTGGAGCAGAATGTAGGATATTGATTTCAACTGAAGAATAAGTAAGCATGCAATGCAGCACAGCCCTGGGTGGAAGTGACAACGATGAAGGGTTTGAAATAATAGTCAACATGGCTTGCCACACAGAAAAAAATGGATTTGAAAAAAAAAATCCTTTTGCTTCATCCTCATATTTATAGTGAGATGCTACAGGAGCTACTTTATTGCACTATTAAGTACATAAAAAGATGAATGCAGCAAGGAATATTAGTTACAGGTCATTCCATAATATTTTTTCTCTTGATTAAATCGCCTCCCCCCTCTTACAAAATCTATTCTTCCTTTTGAGGCTTAAGAATTAAAAACGATCAAAAACCTATCAGAAGCAGTTAAGTTTTGTCTTTATTTTTTTATTTATTTATTTTGAACAGATTGGCTAAATCTGTCAAAAAGGCCAGAAGTTACATTGGGGGTTAGAGGACAGGGCGCAATGGAATGACCATCAGTTGATTGCTTTTAACAAGCAGCCTTCAAAACCCATGGCAAGGTGTAATATAGTATTCACTAGTAGTGGACATGGCTAACTGCAGAACAGGTAAAGATGTAGCAAGTTCCTACCACTAGAATTGTAAAATAGGTATAAATATATAAATATAAATGTAGACAAGTATATAAATAGTGAAACAAAGATTCTAAACACATGGTACAGGAGGAGGATGTCGCTGGGCTATTTGGACTTTTTTCTGTCACTTAAATGCTCTGCACGTTCAAGTGTCAAAGAAAGAATTTGGCAATTTGATTAAGTAAATATGTTGCATTTGGTCATTCTTTAAAGTGGACACAGGTTCATATGTTTGAAAAAATTACGTTTTGCTTTGAAGGTAAATTATTCCAATTATTTCATAAATCTAAAGTGAAATTATTACTATTTCCTACAGGGAATTATGACGGGCACTGCATTTTTCTCTTTGCCTAAATTACTTTTCTGGCAAGTTTAATTGTTGAGCCTCATTAATGCATCATTGTTTGTGAAAGAATAAAAAATTCATGGTACTGGACACTTCATTCCCCATGCCACCTTTCTCTCACTGTTTCCATAGTAAGAAGTGAATATTTAAGCAGTTTTGATTGGCCATCTGGTGCTTGCCAAATTGACCAATCCGGTTGATGTAAAACATGCTGCTGCCCTTTTGGGGGAAAATTTCCCTTTTTGTTCAGTATCTGATAGTTATATATCACATTAAGAATGCCATTGGTCATATATGATGATAATAGTTTAGTTTGAGATAGATATGGTGTTTTTTTTAGATGATAAAGTAGAATATCAGTAAAACTGAATTACAAGACGAGTTTCTGTTTTTAATTTGGGCCGTCTTTGAGCCCACATTGTCCAGAGATTGCAGCATTAATTTTTGTACTTAGATAAAATATGGTAAATATCAAATTTATTTTTAGACGAAAGTAGTAAAAGCTATTTTGGTTAATTACTTATTAATAGTAAAAGTGAATAGGAAAATGTATTGTCAGTAAAGATATTCCACATTTTTTTGACAATATCTGACTACAGATGTAGTTTTAGTCCAATGTTATTGATATTTATACTTTCTGGCTGCTGTGTACATGACATTCAAATATGTTTTGAAGTGGCAGTAAAATTTTTTTTTTGTGAAAAATAAATAAAATGCTGAACCACTACAACAAATTGCCATAGATTACCCATTTGAAAATTTTATGACACATTCAAAAAACAGATTCCAAACAATTATACACACATTTTCAATTATTTTGTGCAATCTTAATTTTAACAAAACAAGTGCTAATATTTCAGCCTAAGTTTTGAACTTCTCAACTTAATGAAATATTAAAAATAAAGACCATAGGAATGAGAAATAAAGTTGTCAATAGTAGAATTGACATATGGGCAAATGATGGCAATACAAAGTGGAAAAGTGATGTTAACTTTTTTTTTTGGATTGGGGGGGGGGGAATAGCACCCTAGAAGCAAGGGGGAGGGGGTGACGTCACATGAACTTTTGTGATTATTATAATAATTGTAAAAACCAGTGAGGGACAGTTAATGACATAGCATGTCTAAAACATTGGAGAGTTATAACTTGTTTTTGTGTGCTACAGGGCAACTGTGTCTGCAGTGCTTGCAAATTGTTGCCAAAATTTTATCCTTGTTTTCTGTTTCAAGTATCTAACTTCATAAGAAAAACAGGACATTTTGAGGTGCATTGATAATAAGTAGGTAGATAACAGTTAGTGTATTTATTCATTAGCGATACAAATACCTTGCTGTCAAACTAAACACTGTAGGTTTTACATGTTCTCCACTTAGTCCTGTGTGGAGATTTCTTAGTACATTATGTGAAGCTGGTTTGTAACAACAAGAACATTGCCACTGCCCACATGTGACAAATATTACAGTTACACTTTAAATGCCATCAGATCAGTTTCATAAGTATAAACAAGATGGCCACCATATTCAAGATGGCCACCTGGACATGTGCTATATAACCTGCCTGTAAATTTCAAACAAGTAATTTAGTGATACATACAAATATATGATTTGTGTCCAAGTTGTGACATAATAACTGCTCTGCCCAGCAGACCAGTAGAATACTAGGTTGTTTTATGTGAGGAGCAGAAATGTAGCATAATTTATAACTGCTTCATTGTGGAATTATGTACAGAAATGAACTGAATAAATACATTTATATGAGAAAGATGAGTCGGGTTTTAGTTTGTTCTTTAAAAAAAAAAATTAAAACAATGTACATAAAATAAATGAATTCAGTTTGTAATAGTCACCAGCAGTAGCAATGTTACCAATGTCTGTTATGTTTACCTTGAGTATTACTCATCCATGTTCATGTAAATAAATATGAGAAAACATATTTGCACCAAAAAGTCTCAACCCTGAAGATTAAATTTACAGTCAAATATCCTAATCAATTGATTCCAAAGAGTCCTCAAAATCCCAGTTGGCCCTTCTAAAACAGGTTCCCTGCAGTGACACCGTCTTCATTACTCACAAGATCTCCACAAGAGGTCTCCCCAGCAGCCAGCATCTTCAAGAAAGGACAAAAAAGTATGTGCCTCCTCAGGCTTGATCTCCATCGAAACTCTTTGCCACACTGACAGATGTACCTACGGCTCCCATGCATACCTTGTTTGTGTTCATTTAAAGTTTTCTGAGTTTTGAATTCTTGGCCGCAAAGATTACACATGAAACTTGCCGTCTCTGATTGGTTACACTCTCCACTGCTCCGGTGCTGCAATAACGCTGCATCCTGCTCGAATGTTTTGTTGCAAACTGCACAGTGTAGAGGTGCCTCCATTTTACCTGCTGTCTCATGACACCTCATGTGTACCTTCAATGCTGCTAGTGATGCAAATGCTTCGGCACAGGTGTCACATACACACTTTGTCACCTCCTGCTCCTTTCCACCATGACACTTGCTTTGTGTATTTATTTCACGCAATGTTAGCTTTTCTGATTCCTCACCTACGTCACAACTGTCTCCATACCCCTTATGCACCACGATTATGTGCTTTTCCAAAGTTGCCTTCTTCCTAAACTGTTTCCTACACAAAACACACTGGTGTTTCTTGGCAATTTTTCCATCTTTTGATGGAGGGGATTTTACTGACCTTGACCTTTGACCTTTAATGGACTTCTGATCTGAAGATGTATGAGTTTTTGAAATGTCTGCCCACATGCTGCCATCGTCTTTTTTATCATGGAATGAAACTGGTGTATTGTCTCGAGGACTCTCTAAAATAAGATATATATTTAGAAAAATTCATGTCAAGTTCAACCTGGACAGGTTTCTACGTCAGTGCTCCCTTTCACAAATTTGTGGCCAATTTTTTTTTGAATCCAGATTACTGCTTGAGTAAAGTGCAGAAGTGTTGCTGAGATGAGTGTCGTGCGTAGTACACGGACTATAAAATCATCAATCTTTTATACCAATCTCTCAAAAAGAGATAGAGAGCAACAATCCTACTTGCTGTGAAAGGGTCTTAACAAAATCAAACATACCAAAGTCTTCCTCTGCGGTGTCAGTATGCACAACATGGTTCAAGGCATCTCTGAAAACTTTCTGAAGCTGGTCTGTGCTAAACACTAGATGTCCTTGTGAAAAAGAAAGACTGGACAAAACTCCTGAAGGAGAGGATGGTGGGGCCTCTGATTCTGAAAGCAGAATATTATAATTCTAGCCACAATAAAGGAAGTTTAAGAAATGGAGAATGTGGATTTGTGTGTGAGTGTGTGTGTGTGTGTACGTGCATGAGTGTGGTGGGCTCTTTATTTCTTATGACCTTCAATGTAATTCAAGTTTTAATACATAATACCTAAAACAGATGAAACTTTAATTGTTCTTTGCCTATAATGGGAGGGAATCTGAAGAAATTCAAATTGAATTCTTTATATTTTAAAAATGTTCTGAAATTTTGCCATAACTGTGCCATAAACTTTTCAGCTTACTGGCCATTCTGACCACCACTTTACCCAAAAATTTCAATAAGAGTGGACATTTTCCTTTGCTGCATTAATGTCAGTAATAATTAGATAAGCACTTCGAGAGCGCAAACCTCTGCCAAGGCAGCAATTTTTTATTATTATTGATTATTGATCCAGATCACCACCAAAAGCTAATCATCTCTTCCTTGGCCCACTTCTGACAGTTCCTGAAAATTTCATCAAAATCTGTCCATAACTTTTTGAGTTATGTTGATGACAGACAGACAAACAAACAAACAGACAAACAAGGGTGAAAACAAAACCTCCTTGGCGGAGGTAACAAGACACTGGGTCTATCAAACTTCATAAAAAATTTAAGAATCATCATGTAAAAGTAACATTTCAGAAAAAAATTAATATAAATAAAACCCGAAAGCCCTTCTAAAAACTTACAGAAAAAATCTGTTATCCTTGTCGGACTACAACATTCACATATTCTGGAAATTATACTGGTCCAAACAAAATTTTACTGGTCGAGGGCCACGGGATAACATCGCCGACTGCACACCTTACCTTCAACATCCTCCTTATTAATGACTTCATCCAGAGTTGTCACTATCAATTCCTTATCTCTGTGAATGTTGATGACACCCTTGATCTGTAGCCTGGAGCTGAACACCAAGTTCTCCTGGCACCATTTTCTAACAGTCTTAGTCAAAAGCTCAGTGATCAATGGCAACCTGTCTACTTGACTGGACATACTGAAATAGTCACATTTTTTTAATGGAGTTTAAATTTTATTGCAGTAGGTCTATACACTATAATGGTACTAGTAGTAAATTATAGCCTCAGTTGGTGTAAGGCTTTTGTGTGATAAATACAGTGTATATGTAGCAGAGTAAAACCTTACACTGATGCATGTTTGAGAGAGAGAGAAAGAGAGGCACAAGCACTGTTTAAGGGCCTTTTGCACCTATGTTCATATGAAGTGCTAAGTAACCTCCGTAGAGGCAAGTACTATGTAAACAAAACTATAAAGCCAGGTACCCAGCACTGTACATCATACATGTATTTTGCCTCTAGCATAAGTAATTTACTATTTTAAATATGCTACAAATTTGTCACAAATTCATATCCTTACAACTTAAATAGATATTATCTTATGCTATTAATAACAAAGCAGTATAGCACGGTAATATTTAGCTCAAGTATTACTTGCAAGTCCAGTTGTATCACATGGAGTTCTGCTGAAATTGACAAATGTACTAACTGGCAATCGATACAACAGAATTACTATACGCAACAGGACAGGACAGCATCACAAAAATTGAATAGATCAACTGTATATTTGCAGATTTTTTCATCTTCATCTCGATTAAAACGTGTGTAAAAGTGAAGTTTGAAATAATGGATTTTTAAATAGAAGGCCGGGTGACCAATAGAGTTAAAAAGATAAGATTGTACAATGTTCATTACTTTTCAATCTGAACACTTTTTCAAAGTAAAAAAAAAAAAAAAATTTTGATACAATTGACATACGAGAAATTTGTTTGTTTTAGTGATCCTTGGTACATTAATACGATACGTGCCTTCTGCACCATGCCCAAATTCAACTCCATCAAATTCAATTATACATTTGAAAATAATTTAAGGGCACATTTCCATAAATTTTAGATCAATCTATCCCCATGGGGAGTCTCACTAGATTACTGTCAGATAATCCGGCTTAAATGTCCGTCCCGCCTACAACAAGCTGTAAGGGGGTAATTAGCTTTCATGCCCACTCGGCTGACAGCTATTTAGCGTGAACCCCCAGGGAGTTAGGTCGATCTAGTTGGATCGATCTAATCTCTAGGAATGGGGTCTAAAATGCTTATCCAAAAAATATTTTGATTAACGAATTAATTACTAGTACACAAATAACACACAACAACAACATAAACTTGTTTGTATAATGCTACATTTTATTTGCATATTATAATACAGTACTTTCACCCAAGCTTTGCATAAACTTCTGTTTCATAATACTGATAGATTTGTTTGGTCTTGAGAAATCTTTCATGTTAAAAAATTAAAGAATTATTCCATATGACTTTCATGGTGAATCTATTACACTTTATGTCTAATGCTGTATTTTAAATTAAAAAAAAAAAGAAAAAAAACTGCAACTTCTTCAGTACAGAACATACACTTATACAAATCACAATTAGATTTAACACTGATACTTCTATAGGTAAAAGAGAAAAAAATGCCACAGCAAATCCACAGAGATCAAAAAGCTAAAAAAAAAAAAAAAAAAAAAAAAAAAAAAAAAAAAAAAAAAATCATTAAAAGCAGTTTTCTTATATGCATAACTGAAACAGAATCTATTGCATAAACCAACAGGCCTATCTTTTAAATCATATAACAACATCCTGCATCCTTCAAATATCTTAGGACCTGAATTATGTATCTAACTATATGTATTATCCAGAAGGAACATTCCTGACAAAAAGTACCCACAAACTTAGGCAACCACCAGTACTTATAGATTCATGCATATTCTTCGATCATCTATGAGCCCTATTGTATAGTGAGAGCTTTACTACATGGACACAATTTCAATAAATTACAATATGGTAAGAAACACAGTGAACCAAACTTCTTGCATACAGATGAATCCTTCACTAAAACAATAAATTGTGAAATTTCCATCAGCCTAATTGTGCAAAGTGCCTTAAAACAAGTGCAAAAATGATGCAATTTATATAAAAATCTATTGACCACTACTAAGTGAAATAGTATAATACAGAATCTTGTTGTATCTTACATTAATATTCTACTCGTACATGCAGCCATGAAATATGCCATTCCTCAACAACAGCAAAATACCACCACCAAAACATGGCAGTCTGTGGAATGCTTCAACAATCAGAATGTCGTGATTTGCAAGAGATGGGAGAATACATGTTTTGAATAAGGTAGGACACCATGAGGCATGAGGCGGGACATTGTGTTGCATGAGGCGGGACACTGTGTTGCATGGGGGGGACATTGTGTGACATGAAGCGGTACATTGTGTTGCATGAGGCGGGACATTGTGTGGCATGAGGCAGGGACATTGTGTGGCATGAGGAAGAAGATTGTGTTGCATAAGCAGGAGCATCCCCAAAAGAAAAATATGCCAAGAGAATACAGCTTTATGTCACTTCACTCTTTAGAAAACAGGTTCTGAACAATTAAAAACAATGCAAACAAATGTGCACACTTGCATTCTCATTTACCGATACTGATGAACTATACCTACATAAGGTAGAGAATAATTTCTTAAACTTTTTTTTGGATTTAGGAATAAATATTTATCATAATCTTAAACAATGTACAATGTAAATATGAAATTGCATTCTTTTAAACACTGGTTCAACATCCAATCATTATCATTATAAAAACATTCTCCTCCAATATTTTTCTTAATTCACTATGCTATATTAAATCAGGCAATTAAATATGTAAAAAAAAAATGCATTTCAAGGTATTTTGACTTTGAGCGATATAGAAGTAATTTTCAGCAATTCAGCTGTACCAGAATGTTTTGAGAGACTGACAACTTAAAAGCCTGACTATAACATCAAGTTAATGGAGTCAGCTTAATGGAGCCCAACAGCCAATTTACAAATGCTCTTGTCGAGAGCCTGAGAAATAACATTTAACAGGCTCTCTTCACTACTGGTTTTATAAAATATGTATATACAAAATAAACTGAGTTATAATGTATGTCCCCTGTGGTGTAATTATACACATGGCAGCTCCTTCTCAAAACATTCTGGTACAGCTGCATCCCTTAGATATTATGTGTGATGTGAAAAGGCTCTATTCTATAAGATGCACCTCATGGTAATAGTAATTTGAACATGGTGCACCTTAGAGTAAAGCCTTCTGGAAGTTACTATTTACCAGTGATATGAGTTGGAAAAATTGTGAGACCAAGTAAGGCACCCAGGATTTAACAGTCAATTAAGAATCCTTGAATGCCCTAGATATGAAGGTACCAGTATCTCGGCAACTACAGGCCTTATAAGCAGATTAGGCATTACCATAATAAACATCCTCTACTTAGATATAACAAGACTATTTTTTAATATCACTTATACACAAGGAAACATCCCTACTTCAGTTCTCTCTCTCTCACACAGTATTTCATCTACTGGTACCAGTATCTATCATACAATTATTCTTATTAATTCATACTGTGCATGCTTGAAATTGAGTATACTACAGAAAAGCAGCTATATGATTTTTCATCGACCCTATTATATATAAAATGCCACATAACCTACAATGAAACTTTTATGCAGTTAAAAAAAAAATCCATTAGCTATATAAGTAAAACAAATTCTTCCTTTTATTGGGCTAATGGTATATAGAAATCTTGAAACAGTTGCTATATACATGTATATACCAGTATATATATATCATAATATAACTTTTCTTAAGAATTCACAGCCAAATGAGCAAATATACATTATTATCAAATACATCCATTATCTTCAAGTTCCTTACGCAATAAACACTTATCATTCATCAGTATACACGTTGCATCACTACTCACGTAATGTACATTAATTTAATCAATCAACTATTGTTTCTTATATGTAATATATTAAATAATATGTACATAAGCATGTCTATAATCAAACTATTATTCTTATTAGAGATCATAATCATCATTGCATCTTAAAAAGTTCATTATATTGTTATTTACTGTATTCTATCTAATGTTTATGCACATGGATATATATTCCTGGCATACAGCAGTGGCACTCACTGTGTGAAATAACTGCATGATCAATGGCGTAATTTCTTTCTTCGGTTACTCATTTAAAAGAAGATATTGACCAAAGCCAACAGTTACAGACAATAGTTAATTTTTCAAAAGTTATAAATTGCTAAGAAATTAATATTTAAAACAAATCAGATAGAAAAAAAAAATTATTTAATGGAAGAGTGACCACAGACAGACATATCTTAAATTGGCGATAATCTCTGACCACAATTAAGCATAAACTTCATGCAGTTTGAACATTATCATTTCCAAAACATACAGCAAAAACACACAAACATCATTCACACATATTCTAACCTCAAATCTAACAGCAGTCAGCTTTGCAGTGCACGGATTCAAAAAACGTTCTATGGCAATTATCAAAACATTTACAATACCAAGAAACAGCTATCAGCAGCTAGACCCAAAATCATTTCATGATGTTTTAAATTTGCTGGTACATGTGCAACCTGTTCTTTTAGTTCAAGATAAATAATATTGTTTCAAGGTTTAACAAATACGTCCTGTTGAACTGAAAAGTTATACAAGACAAATTCACATGTGGAACCACGGCATCAGAAATGAAGCACTAAGAATGGTTAAAACTCCCCCAATTTGCTTCTATTGGTGGTTACTTACATATCCCTATTTTAACATGTTTTTAACATTTATTCTATTAAAAGATCTGTAATTTCAAGCAGGGACAAAGGCTGTAACCTGTCACACCAGAACTGCTCTTAATGATCAACATTTTTGAACCCTTCTTTCCAAAGAATGTACAAAAGAAAAAAGTTCAGGAAAATATATAATTTTGCTTAAATTCTGAGGAATCACCTTTTTTTTTTTTGCAGTCCCAAAGATGTTTCTGATTTTTTTTTTAAATCTCCACACATACTGATTATATTTTTAGACTCTGGAATGCTAAAAACATCCCCTTAAACACTTTTCTTTCTGTCATTGGCAAGCATGCCTAAGAGAGCAGATACTTGTTATATTGCCACGAATCTGGATTCTAGTATTCTATTTTAGAGATCTTCTTACATATTGCAACAATGCTTTTAAATGGATGAAAAAAGCATTTTTTTCATGTCTTTCAGTATTGCATAATTACCACAGAGAAATCACTTAACTTTAGCAGCAATATATAAAACTAACTTGCATCTTATCAAAAACTTTCAGGCAAATATGACCTCAATCATCAATATACAGGCATATATCATAAGCCAAACAGCAGTCTAATAAAAAAGATTACATAGAAAGTAAAAAAGAAAAGAAAAATCTCTTCATTACAATAATTATAATAATTACAGACCACTAGGGACTAACTCTTCACTTCTAAACCTTCTGAGCTGTAAATACAGTTCTAAAATCATCACCAGACATTTAAAACACCAGGAGAAATAACATGCATAAAAGCTTTTTTTTCAGAAATGTGCCATACAAATCCTAAGACACAGAACCTGTATCAAAATATATATCCTCTGGAAAGAATATCTCCACCATTAAAATCCTACATAGAAAGTGTTTGCATCATCCCTGACATTCTAAGTATAATATAATGAACAAACTTGCAAGCTTGGGAAAAGGTCTGTGCAAGATGGGTGTAACTCCACAAATTCAATGTCTTCATCCAATAATATATCATAAATTTGAAAATAAAATATACATGTCACATATTCACTACTAAGTATATGAAACATCCTCCCCCTTGCCTCTTCATCTCTTTCCAGAACCATTCAAACCTCCTCCATCCTTTCTTCCTTCCTCATAAGCTACATGGTTTGATGTTGGTGCTTACTAGTCCACAAGACCAAAGTTCAGTTTTGCACAATATGCCTCCTCACTGAAGCACTTCTTCCATCTTCCTATCCTCTCTTTTTATAGACTATCTTGTGTGCTGCCATAAGAACAGTTTCAAATCATACTGCATTCTCTCCGTGTAAAAAAATTCCCTCTGTCACCACTAGCACGTTCTCCGCACATCCTGATGAATATATTATGGCCTCCTGCTGAAATATGTCATGCCTTTATTATGGTAAATTCCAGATCTCCCTCTGAACATCTCACGCACACCATACTATGAGTTTCTTTTGTGCAACACGTTATTCCACATACGCTGAAAGGTCCATCCAACATGTAGATTTTTGTGCATTTTTTCAGCACTACATGAAGCAGCATGTAATGCTACACGTCCAACCATTGTGTGGAGAAATGTGGAGGGAAAGAATTATGCCACTTCGTGTTTGCGTTTGTGCTGCGCCATCTGGCAGGGACTGAGAACACAGTGAGAGCAGCCGGCGTACACGCAGTGGTAATGGGTCTGCTTCTTGCTGTGTGGACAATTGGCCACATCACATTCTGCAGTCTGAGAGATTTTCGTGAACCCCTGCGAGGCAAACTTCTCCATCTTCGAATGCTGTTTTCTGTGGGCTGAAACTTTGCTCGTATCTGTGCAAATGAATGGACAACGCAGACAGTGATAGTGGGATGATTTCCCTGTGTATTGGCAATCAGGACGTCCACATTCGGAGGTTCCACGATACTGCTGGAACTGGCCTCCCATTATGGCGTCCACACGCTCGTGGCGTATGCTGTGCTGCACTATGCGCGAACGGTCGGTGAATGCGAAAGCACAATCAGGACGGGAGCAGTGAAAGTGGGTCAGGTTCTGGCGATGAGCACACTGGGCGTGTCCGCAGTCCTCGGAGTAATGGTACCGTTGGAACCCGTCTGGTAATGGATCGGTTTTACTGGGCACTGGGCTAGAGTGGGATACCTTCTGCTGCTTTGGGGCCGGCTCATCATTGGTGATGAAATCCTCCATGTGGGTGGAAATTCTCTTCCGTCCTGACCGTCTGGAGCTGTCTTGGAGAGACCCCCCGGTGGAGCTGATGGACAAATCGAGCGATTCCTCCTGCGGAGTATCTGCTGCCCCATTGCATTCTGGGACACCACCTTTTGCCTTGGAATGTGACTGACCTGACTTCTGCTGTTCATCGGAATTGTGCTGGTTTTGTTGGGCTTTTTCTAAAATGCTTGTGAAAGCTTCTGGTTTCAAGGTGAGTGAAGACGAAGCTTCCACATCATCTCCATCTTCCGCCTTAGCGTTCCCACCAGATGTTGCTTCTGTGGTTGCTTCATTCCCATTAAAAGTTACTGGAACATTCTGATTAAGTGCAGCAGTGGGCATTATGCATATTTGCTGGTCTTCCTCCAGTTTCAACCCATGTTTGGCAATGTGTACTTTCAACCTGTCCTCATAAGAGAACGCCTGGTTGCACTCCTTGCAGTGAAAATGCTCACGCTTCTTCAGCTTGCAAAATGGCCGCCCACAGTTCACATTCGCCGGGCAATACATCTGCACCTTCATCATGTCCCAATTGTTCTGAGGCATGCTCTGCATGGCTTTCTGCTGCAGAAGTAGGGCCAACGGTAGGAAACCCTGAGTTGCCGAGGCAATGGTGGCTTTCTGCTGCTCTTCTTGACTCGTTGGGCTAAGAGTAGGCGATGTTGTTGATGAAGACGCCAACTGCTGGGGAGCTGCCATGAGTACCGGTTGAGCTACGGCAATTGGTCCTGCCGAAGTGTAGATGATTTGAGGCATCATGTGACTGATCATCTGAGTGCCCATCATGCCAGCAGCAGTGTTGGGAATGCTGACAGGCATGCCCCCACTGGTGGGAAAGAAGGTACCTTTAGCTTTGACAATGTTCTTGGCCTCATTATCTTTTTCTGGGGTCAGCTTGTAAGCCAGTGCCTGATTGGCTGTTACAGTTGATGGAGGAAACGGCACACCCTCTTTTGGAATTGGGACTTTGACGGGTAAGGGAGAGGAGCCTTCTGCCTGCTTGCTGCCCTCTTGGTGTTTTTTCTCGTGTTGTGCCATGGTTGTTGGTCTCACAAACGAATAGTCACAGCGTGAGCGTGTGCAGTGGAAATGCTTGTTGGCACCGTTATTATGACAATGTGGACGGCGACAGTTGATGTTGCGATCAAAGAACTCGTAGCCTTCGAGGATGTGGATGTAGTTGTGAAAATCGCGGCAATGAAGATTCAGCACGTCAGCCCTGTCACTGGCATGATGACACCTCGGTCTAAGGCAGTGGTAATGAACCTTTTTATGAAACAAACAGAGATGATCCGGGCAGGGCTGAGCCTCATCGAACTTCATAAAGCCCTTAATGACCTTGGTTGTTGCATTAAGGCTTTCCAAATCCTTCTCTGTCAGCTCTGTCTTATCATCAACAAAGGTGCCCTCTTTCAGCTCTACTTTTGGCACCACAGGGATGTGGGTTTTTGGATACTTGGGAGGTCGACCTCGGCGGGTTTTGGGGAGAGTGAAATGGTTGAAGAGGTTCCCGCTGTCCCCGCCTTGGGATGAGGAGGGTTTGGACTTCCTACAGAGAACAGCACTGAGGTATTCGTGTTCCCTGTAGTGGGTAAGACGGGCAAATATGTCTCCTGTGCTGGAGATGACACGCTGACAGTTAGCCTAGAAGGTAAAATAGAAGAAAAAATGCTATCAGTTTTATGTTATTTTTAGAGATATGATATTGTGAGGCAACCACAAAATCAGTTTGAGACACAAAAACTGGCCACAGACCAATTGCCAGTCAATTAAATTAGAAATAAACACTGTAACATTGTGTAGATTTGTTTAGTTGAATTATAATAAGAAAAAACAAATTAATAAATATAATCAAAATTTCAATAATTACACAGAATGCTCTGCATCCCAATTTCCCTAATTACAGAAGGCAACATGGGGTTCAGGGAGAAGAAAAAAATAATTTGAACATTTCTCTTACCCAGAGGCAATGATAGTGCTTCTCCTTCCTGGCGTATGGACACAATTCCTGGCTACACTGCTCGGACTCATTGAACTGCATATATGTGAGATCAGAGATTTTGTCCTGCTGCTCATGGTTTCTTAAAAATGAAAATAAAATGTTAATGTTATATGCAGAAACAGTTAATTTCTTGAAGGTACTCTATACAGGCTTTAGCTTAGAAAGATAACTACACATAGAAAATATGACTTTGGGCAATTTTGAAATGTGTACAGTAAATGTACATACCTTTAAGATACTAACAATAGAACTACATTTCTAATCAATATTTTGAAACAATATCTCCACATTGTGTTAGTTGAGAATACTAACACAATGTAGCAATATAGAATGTGTTGGGTGATATACTTACCTTGCATGCTCCCTGACACCTTCCTTGGACCTAAATACCATATTGCATCCAGTGATATTGCAGTGGTAATGGTCTTTATAGAGATATTCACAGCGGGAGTTACAGGGGTCATTAGCAGTATACCTGTATATCATAATATACACATTTTATTATCATTATAACTATTTCTATAAATATAAAAGGCATCACGATTATTATCATTATAACTATTATTTCTAGCTTTTCTTTTCACCATTTCGCTCTTTCTCTTTAAAAAATTAAAAATTCATAATACTCCTCTCGTCCCCCTCCTTTTCATTGTTAATTTCTTACCTGGTCAGAATGCCTTTCCACGAATCATCTTTGACATTATTCTTGGTCACCTGGAGCTTGGTGGGGTCAAAGGTCATCTTCTCAATGGGTGATGCCTCCCCGGGTGTTACTTTAGCTGCCATGGAGGTATTGTGGGTAGGCGTGGATGAAAATGAGGCTGACTCCGTCTTTACCGAACTTTCTGTCTTCTTTTTCTCAAAGGTTGGAATTGGTAAATTGAGGGAATTGTTTAAGTCATCACCTGTAAAATAAACAAAAATTTTGAGCAAATTTTACAAATCTTAAGATGGAATAAGTCTGATTATAGAAAGCCAATTTAAAGATATATAATGTTAAGCTGAATAAATTTATTTCAAAGGTGTCAGTAGTTCTGGTAGATGATTACAGAAAACATACTGCTAAAATGAGAGAGAGAGAGAGAGAGAGAGAGAGAGAGAGAGAGAGGAGAAAACTGGTATTAAGGTAGTAAAAGAAGAAAACCACAATACATAATTTTTTTTTACCTGTAATGTCTCCAGCACTTTTGGTCAGGTTAATTGAGGAATCTTCTTCTTGTGGCGAGTTGGTCTCCGAGCGAACACTCATCATGGAATCTTGGGTATCCATATTAATCTGAAGATCTGACCCTATGGAGGAAGTGGTAGAAAAATCCAAGGGGCTAGATGCTCCAGAGGGGGAAACTCCCTTCACAGGTGTATTTTCTCGTGACAGTTTCATCTTAACGAGATCATCAATGTCCACATATTCCGCCTCCTGCTTGATGACAGGAAGTTGGAAGTTCTGCAAGGTGAATTGTGGGATACCACTTGTAGGCATAGGTGCGATGGGGACAGGTCCCACGGAGACGCGCTTTTTAAAATGTTGCTCCTCTTTGAAACGCTTGTAGGCATGTTCGAAGTCACGACGTTCATGCTTTCGCTTGTGGGAATAAAGTTGTCCAGTGGAATGTAGTACATAGTCACAACCTAAAAATTATGATGAAGCATTGAAGATTTGCTAAATAAATACTGACCAATGTGTATCGGAACAAAAGTAAAGTAGTACGAATCACAAGTTTCTGACCTGGACTTATTTTAGCAAGGCATGCTTCAGCATAGCATACTGTCTAACATATTGAAATTTGGCCAAGAAAGATGTTAAATAATTTATTTAACCTTTTCAACCAAATAAATAACTTAGTGCAAAAATTTAATTTGACTCAAATTATCAAGCTGTTTGGCTTGAAGAAATTTTATTAGTGTGAATAGAGCCTGGGTCAGTACAGGCATGCAGTAGGATAATTTTTTATACTGGGGTTAACAATTTTTTTTAATATGTATTTGTAAAAATTATTCTGCACAAGAAAAATCCACTCACCAGGTCGAATGCAGTGAATGTGGTTACTGACTTTGGAGTACTTGCAGTTTTGGAATGTGCAGTGTTCATATTTCATAAACTTCTTGAATCCATCCTTAGAAAGAATTTCATCCTTCTGGTGGTATGCTTTGTGTTTTTCTGAAAAGAAAAAAACAACTTGTTTGATTTAAGTCATTAGCATATATTGATCATTATAAGATGACAAATATACAAATATGTATTTTTTTGTACCTCATCTGAGCAAAATGGAGACCCGGAATGATTTTTTTCTCTATCTCTTCTCAATTGTGAACTAAATACAGTAAATTTAATAACGTAATATCAGTTTGACACAGTGAAAAATTTCCAAATGAGAAATATTCCCATCACTTATTATCAAAGGGAGAGCTATTTGTTTAACTAATCTTCTTACCCATATCAGCCTTGTTTTTAAAGGTGAAATTACAACTGGAGCGGCGGCAGTGGAAGTGGGTGGTACGCTGCCCATAAAACTGACAAGATGGGGTCCCACAATCCTCTGTGGCTCGAAATCTCTGAAATCCTTCCTGAATGATGGCGGAATCTTTGCGGTGGTAGTTGGCATGCATCTGAACATCTGAGGTGCTGATGTAGACTTTGTTACAGCCAGACTGTTGAAAAAAATTAGAGAATATAGAATATTAATTTAGAAATATATAGATATCATTTGGACATATATCTTGCATGGCATTGTAATACAAACTGGATATTTGAAGAATTGCATAATTCTGTAGGAAAATTGAAAGAAATAAAAGCAGAGAAAAGAAAATCAAAATGCTGGTTTTGGAACGTGGCATGCAGTTTTATGCAATAAGTAACTGTGAAAATAATTAAGTTTTATTGAAATCCCAATTAATACAAAATGAGAGAGAGAGAGAGAGAGAGAGAGAGAGAGAGAGAGAGGGGGGGGGGAGAGGAGAGGGGCCATTATTCACCTGTATGCAGTGGTAATGAGTCTGCTTGCCACAGTGTGTGCAGTTGCCAAACTTAGCAAAGCAGTCGTCCATGGGACTGTAGCGCATGAACCCATGCTGCAGGGAGTCATCTCGCTTCTTGTGCCACTTGAAATGGCGGATCATCTCTTCTTTCTTGATGAAAACCTGGGGAAAGGTAATAAATATCGTAATTATTCAATAAGGAAAAAACTGTTTTGGTGATACCATACCATTCAAGCTCTTGAAAAATAAAAATAAACTGTTTTGGCATTACCATTAAAGCCCTTTGAGTAGAAGATATTTCTTTATTGCTTTAATCAAGTATTCGTGGCAAAAAAATTTTCAAGCTGAGAAATATAAATGTGCTAGTTGAGACAGGAATTGTGTTGTAAGAGACAGATGACAGTGCCAAGCTTAAGAAATCTGCTCTTTCCAACTGAGAGCCACACCCCCAAAGAGTGCTCACACAAGTGAGAGTAAGGAGGGAAAATTTTTCCCTCACCCTGAAACTGCAGTCCACACAGTGGTAGTGTTCCTTGTATCCCATGTCTTGGCAGTGGTTGCCTCCGCAGTCTGCAAATGAGACAAACCTGTAAGGCAAAAGAAAGAAGGCATTATTATCAATGCATTTAAGGCTGTATTCCCAGAGCTTTTAGATCAATCTATCCCCGGGTGGAGTCTCACTAGATTACTGTCAGATAATCCGGCTTAAAAGTCCGTCCCGCCTACTACAAGCTGTAAGGGGGTAATTAACTTTCATGTCCCCCCGGCTGACAGCTATTTAGCGTGAACCCCCAAGGAGTTAGGTCGATCTAAAGTAGATCGATCTAATCTCTGGAAATGGGGTCTAAGTGCACTACCTGTATCTAGGTTGTACTGGCTGTTTTTTATATCTGCAAGCACAGTCATTTAGCAATACTAAATCAAGTTACACACCCACATGCACGCACGTGAATGCATGCAAGCACAAACCCAAACACACATATAAAATAGTGTTCATCTGTTTTTCTTTATTTTGAATCCATAATTTAAAAGTTTCCTTTACAAAAATGGACTAAAACAATTATTATAAAAATTAATTTAAATGAAACAATTTAATAAAAACCTGAATTTATTTATTAGTAAAATTGTATCTTATCAATACCTCTTGATATACTTGCTGTAGTCGGGGAGGAGTTCCCCGGCCAGTTTGGCGGATATGGTCTGAGGAGAGACATCTGGTGAGAAAACAGCCTTCACGTATTCGGCACTATTGGTGAATTTCTTCAAAGAACCTGTCAATAATAAAACACAATACTTACAACAGGAGATAATATCAAGAAGCACGCTTTTACCATTTAAGTTATTTTGCAGAGATTGTGATGCTTGATAAAGATGAAAAAAACAAAGCCGTTAAACTGATAGAAATCACAATAGATATTTTAATGTCATAGAGGTATAGCGACTTTTTCATCTGAGGAAAACAGAAAACTACATTTTCATCTGTATCATATCATCTAACTAAATATGGGCATAATATGAATTATACATGGTAAATTTAATAAAAAAATTTTGACCACAATAAACTCATATTTCAAAAAAAAAAAAAAAAAANAGGCATAAAGGCTTTTTTTTCAGAAATGTGCCATACAAATCCTAAGACACAGAACCTGTATCAAAATATATATCCTCTGGAAAGAATATCTCCACCATTAAAATCCTACATAGAAAGTGTTTGCATCATCCCTGACATTCTAAGTATAATATATTGAACAAACTTGCAAGCTTGGGAAAAGGTCTGTGCAAGATGGGTGTAACTCCACAAATTCAATGTCTTCATCCAATAATATATCATAAATTTGAAAATAAAATATACTTGTCACATATTCACTACTAAGTATATGAAACATCCTCCCCCTTGCCTCTTCATCTCTTTCCAAGACCATTCAAACTTCCTTCATCCTTTCTTCCTTCCTCATAAGCTACATGGTTTGATGTTGGTGCTTACTAGTCCACTAGACCAAAGTTCAGTTTTGCACGATATGCCTCCTCATTGAAGCACTTCTTCCATCTTCCTATCCTCTCTTTTTATAGACTATCTTGTGTGCTGCCATTAGAACAGTTTCAAATCATACTGCATTCTCTCCTTGTAAAAAAATTCCCTCTGTCACCACTAGCACGTTCTCCGCACATCCTGATGAATATATTATGGCCTCCTGCTGAAATATGTCATGCCTTTATTATGGTAAATTCCAGATCTCTTCTGAACATCTCATGCACACCATTCTATGAGTTTCTTTTGTGCAACACGTTATTCCATATACGCTGAAAGGTCCATCCAACATGTAGATTTTTGTGCATTTTTTCAGCACTACATGAAGCAGCATGTAATGCTGCACGTCCAACCATTGTGTAAGAAATGTGGAGGGAAGAATTATGCCACTTCGTGTTTGCGTTTGTGCTGCGCCATCTGGCAGGGACTGAGAACACAGTGAGAGCAGCCAGTGTACACGCAGTGGTAATGGGTCTGCTTCTTGCTATGCGGACAATTGGCCACTTCACATTCTGCGGTCTGAGAGATTTTCGTGAACCCCTGCGAGGCAAACTTCTCCATCTTAGAATGCTGTTTCCTGTGGGCTGAAACTTTGCTCGTATCTGTGCAAATGAATGGACAACGCAGACAGTGGTAGTGAGAAGACTTCCCTGTGTATTGGCAATCAGGACGTCCGCATTCTGAGGTTCCGCGATACTGCTGGAACTGGCCTCCCATTATGGCGTCCACACGCTCGTGGCGTATGCTGTGCTGCACGATGCGGGAACGGTCGGTGAATGCGAACGCACAATCAGGACGGGAGCAGTGAAAGTGGGTCAGGTTCTGGCGATGTGCACACTGGGCGTGTCCGCAGTCCTCGGAGTAATGGTACCGTTGGAACCCGTCTGGTAACGGATCGGTTTTATTGGGCACTGGGCTAGAGTGGGATACCTTCTGCTGCTTTGGTGCCGGCTCATCATTGGTGATGAAATCCTCCATGTGGGTGGAAATTCTCTTCCGTCCTGACCGTCTGGAGCTGTCTTGGAGAGACCCCCCGGTGGAGCTGATGGACAAATCCAGCGATTCCTCCTGCGGAGTGTCTGCTGCCCCATTGCATTCTGGGACAGCATCTTTTGTCTTGGAATGTGACTGACCCGACTTCTGCTGTTCCTCGGAATTGTTCTGGTTTTGTTGGGCTTTTTCTAAAATGCTTGTGAAAGCTTCTGGTTTCAAGGTGAGTGAAGACGAAGCTTCCACATCATCTCCATCTTCCGCCTTAGCATTCCCATCAGATGTTGCTTCTGTGGTTGCTTCATTCCCATTAAAAGTTACTGGAACATTCTGATTAAGTGCAGCAGTGGGCATTATGCAGATCTGCTGGTCTTCCTCCAGTTTCAACCCATGTTTGGCAATGTGTACTTTCAATCTGTCCTCATAAGAGAACGCCTGGTTGCACTCTTTGCAGTGAAAATGCTCACGCTTCTTCAGCTTGCAAAATGGCCGCCCACAGTTCACATTCGCTGGGCAATACATCTGCACCTTCATCATGTCCCAGTTGTTCTGAGGCATGCTCTGCATTGCTTTCTGCTGCAGAAGTAGGGCCAACGGTAGGAAACCCTGAGTTGCCGAGGCAATGGTGGCTTTCTGCTGCTCTTCTTGACTCGTTGGACTAAGAGTAGGCGATGTTGCTGACGAAGACGCCAACTGCTGGGGAGCTGCCATGAGTACCGGTTGAGCTACGGCAATTGGTCCTGCCGAGGTGTAGATGATTTGAGGCATCATGTGACTGATCATTTGAGTGCCCATCATGCCAGCAGCAGTGTTGGGGATGCTGACAGGCATGCCCCCACTGGTGGGGAAGAAGGTACCTTTTGCCTTGACAATGTTCTTGGCCTCAGTATCTTTTTCCGGGGTCAGTTTGTAAGCCAGTGCCTGATTGGCTGTTACAGTTGATGGAGGAAACGGAGCGCCCTCTTTTGGAATTGGGACTTTGACGGGTAAGGGAGAGGAACCTTCGGCCTGCTTGCTGCCCTCTTGGTGTTTTTTCTCATGTTGTGCCATGGTCGTTGGCCGCACAAACGAATAGTCACAGCGTGAGCGTGTGCAGTGGAAATGCTTATTGGCACCGTTATTATGACAATGTGGACGGCGACAGTTGATGTTGCGATCAAAGAACTCGTAGCCTTCGAGGATGTGGATGTAGTTGTGAAAATCGCGGCAATGAAGATTCAGCACGTCAGCCCTATCACTGGCGTGATGACACCGCGGTCTAAGGCAGTGGTAATGAACCTTTTTATGAAACAAACAGAGATGATCTGGGCAGGGCTGAGCCTCATCGAACTTCATAAAGCCCTTAATGACCTTGGTTGTTGCATTAAGGCTTTCCAAATCCTTCTCTGTCAGCTCTGTCTTATCATCGACAAAGGTGCCCTCTTTCAGCTCTACTTTTGGCACCACAGGGATGTGGGTTTTTGGATACTTGGGAGGTCGACCTCGGCGGGTTTTGGGGAGAGTAAAATGGTTGAAGAGGTTCCCGCTGTCCCCGCCTTGGGATGAGGAGGGTTTGGACTTCCTACAGAGAACAGCACTGAGGTATTCGTGTTCCCTGTAGTGGGTAAGACGGGCAAATATGTCTCCTGTGCTGGAGATGACACGCTGACAGTTAGCCTAGAAGGTAAAATAGAAGAAAAAATGCTATCAGTTTTATGTTATTTTTAGAGATATGATATTGTGAGGCAACCACAAAATCAGCTTGAGACATTAAAACTGGCCACAAACCAGTCAATTTAATTAGAAAGTAACACAGTAACATTGTGTATAATTGTTAAGTTGAATTATAATAATAAAAAACAAATTAATAAATGAATCAAAATTTTAATAATTACACAAAATGCTCTGCATTCCCATTTCCCTAATTACAGAAGGCAACATGGGGTTCAGAGAGAAGAAAAAAATAATTTGAACATTTCTCTTACCCAGAGGCAATGATAGTGTTTCTCCTTCCTGGCATATGGACACAATTCCTGGCTACACTGCTCAGACTCATTGAACTGCATATATGTGAGATCAGAGATTTTGTCCTGCTGCTCATGGTTTCTAAAAAATAAAAGCAAAACCTTAATGTTATATGCAGAAACAGTTGATTTCTTGAAGATATTCTATACAGGATTCAGTTTTGAAAGATAAGCACACATAGAAAATAACTTTGGGCAATTTTAAAAAGTGTACAGTAAATGTACATACCTTAAAGATACTAACAAAATGTAGCAATTGTATCAATTTAGATTGTGTTGGGTGTTATATTTACCTTGCATGCTCCCTGACACCTTCCTTGGACCTAAATACCATATTGCATCCAGTGATATTGCAGTGGTAATGGTCTTTATAGAGATATTCACAGCGGGAGTTACACGGGTCATTAGCAGTATACCTGTATATCATAATATACACATTTTATTATCATTATTACTATTTCTATAAATATAAAAGGCATCACGATTATTATCATTATAATTATTATTTCTAGCTTCTCTTTTCCCCATTTCGCTCTTTCTCTTTATGAAAAAAATTTCTTATGTTGGAATTAAACCTCAATCAAAACCATTCATCACAACATACACACATGCACAAAAAAGATGAAATGACAAAAATTCAGGTAAAAATTCATAATACTCCTCTCGTCCCCCCCCCCCCCCTTCATTTCTAATTTCTTACCTGGTCAGAATCCCTTTCCACGAATCATCTTTGACATTATTCTTGGTCACCTGGAGCTTGGTGGGGTCAAAGGTCAGCTTCTCAATGGGTGATGCCTCGGCGGGTGTTACTTTAGCTGCCATGGAGGTATTGTGGGTAGGCGTGGATGAAAACGAGGCTGGTTCCGTCTTTACCGAACTCTCTGTCTTCTTTTTCTCAAAGGTTGGAATTGGTAAATTGAGGGAATTGTTTAAGTCATCACCTGTAAAATAGTACAAAAATTATTGAGCAAATTTTACAAATCTTAAGATGGAATAAGTCTGATTATAGAAAGCCAATTAAAAGATATGTAATGTTAAGCTGAATAAATTTATTTCAAAGGTGTCAGTAGTTCTGGTAGATGATTACAGAAAACGCACTGCTAAAAATGAGAGAGAGAAAGAAGGAGGGAGGAGAAAACTGATATTAAGTTAGTAAAAGAAGAATACCACAATCAATAAAATTATGTTGCACCTGTAATGTCTCCAGCACTTTTGGTCAGGTTAATTGAGGAATCTTCTTCTTGTGGCGAGTTGGTCTCAGAGCGAACACTCATCATGGAATCTTGGGTATCCATATTAATCTGAAGATCTGACCCTATGGAGGAAGTGGTAGAAAAATCCAAGGGGCTAGATGCTCCAGAGGGGGAAACTCCCTTCACTGGTGTATTTTCTCGTGACAGTTTCATCTTAACGAGATCATCAATGTCCACATATTCCGCCTCCTGCTTGATGACAGGAAGTTGGAAGTTCTGCAAGGTGAATTGTGGGATACCACTTGTAGGCATAGGTGCAATGGGGACGGGTCCCACGGAGACACGCTTTTTGAAATGTTGCTCCTCTTTGAAACGTTTGTAGGCATGTTCGAAGTCACGACGTTCATGCTTTCGCTTGTGGGAATAAAGTTGTCCAGTGGAATGTAGTACATAGTCACAACCTAAAAATTATAATGAAACATTGAAGATTTGCTAAATAAATACTGACCAATATGTATCGGAACAAAAGTAGTAGAACAGAACAAATCTGACCTGGACTTATTCTAGCAAGGCATGCTTCAGCATAGCATATTGTCTAAGATATTGAAATTCGGCCGAGTAAGATGTTAAATAATTTATTTAACCTTTTCAACCAAATAAATAACTTAGTGCAAAAATTTAATTTGACTCAAATTATCAAGCTGTTTGGCTTGAAGAAATTTTATTAGTGTGAATAGAGCCTGGGTCAGTACAGGCATGCAGTAGGATAATTTTTTATACTGGGGTTAACAATTTTTTTTAATATGTATTTGTAAAAATTATTCTGCACAAGAAAAATCCACTCACCAGGTCGAATGCAATGAATGTGGTTACTGACTTTGGAGTACTTGCAGTTTTGGAATGTGCAGTGTTCATATTTCATGAACTTCTTGAAGCCATCCTTAGAAAGAATTTCATCCTTCTGGTGGTATGCTTTGTGTTTTTCTGAAAAGAAAAAAAAACAACTTGTTTGATTTAAGTCATTAGCATATATTGATCATTATAAGATGACAAATATACAAATATGTATTTTTTTGTACCTCATCTGAGCAAAATGGAGACCCGTAATGATTTTTTTCTCTATCTCTTCTCAATTGTGAACTAAATACAGTAAATTTAATAATGTAATATCAATTTGACACAGTGAAAAATTTCCAAATGAGAAATATTCCCATCACTTATTATCAAAGGGAGAGCTATTTGTTTAACTAATCTTCTTACCCATATCAGCCTTGTTTTTAAAGGTGAAATTACAACTGGAGCGGCGGCAGTGGAAGTGGGTGGTACGCTGCCCATAAAACTGACAAGATGGCGTCCCACAATCCTCTGTGGCTCGAAATCTCTGAAATCCTTCCTGAATGATGGCAGAATCTTTGCGGTGGTAGTTGGCATGCATCTGAACATCTGAGGTGCTGATGTAGACTTTGTTACAGCCAGACTGTTGAAAAAATTAGAGAATATAGAATATTAATTTAGAAATGTATAGATATCATTTGGACCTATATCTTGCATGGCATTGCAATAAAAACTGGATATTTGAAGAATTGCATAATTCTGTATGAAAATTGAAAGAAACAAAAGCAAAGAAAAGAAAATCAAAATACTGGTTTTGGAACGTGGCATGCAGTTTTATGCAATAAGTAACTGTGAAAATAATTAAGTTTTATTGAAATCCCAATTAATACAAAATGAGAGAGAGAGAGAGAGATAGAGAAGGGGGGGAGAGGAGAGGGGCCATTATTCACCTGTATGCAGTGGTAATGAGTCTGCTTGCCACAGTGTGTGCAGTTGCCAAACTTAGCAAAGCAGTCATCCATGGGACTGTAGCGCATGAAACCATGCTGCAGGGAGTCATCTCGCTTCTTGTGCCACTTGAAATGGCGGATCATCTCTTCTTTCTTGATGAAAACCTGGGGAAAGGTAAAAAAAAATTTTAATTATTCAATAAGGAAAAAACTGTTTTGGTGATACCATACCATTCAAGCTCTTGAAAAATAAAAATAAACTGTTTTGGCATTACCATTAAAGTCCTTTAAATAGAAGATATTTCTTTATTGCTTTAATCAAGTATTCGTGGCAAAAATATTTTCAAGCTGAGAAATATAAATGTGCTAGTTGAGACAGGAATTGTGTTGTAAGAGACAGATGACAGTGCCAAGCTTAAGAAATCTGCTCTTTCCAACTGAGAGCCACATCCCCAAAGAGTGCTCACACATGAAACATGCTCTCACCCTGAAACTGCAGTCCACACAGTGGTAGTGTTCCTTGTATCCCATGTCTTGGCAGTGGTTGCCTCCACAGTCCGCAAATGAGACAAACCTGTAAGGCAAAAGATAGAAGGCATTATTATCAATGCATTAAAGTGTACTACCTGTATCTAAGTTCTACTGGCTGTTTTTTAATATCTGCAAGCACGCTCATTTAGCAATACTTAATCAAGTTACACACCCACATGCACGCACGTGAATGCATGCAAGCACGAACCCAAACACACATAAAAAATAGTGTTCATCTGTTTTTCTTTATTTTGAATCAATAATTTAAAAGTTTCCTTTACAAAAATGGACTAAAACAATTATTATTAAAAATCAATTTAAATGAAACAATTTAATAAAAACCTTAATTTATTTATTAGTAAAATTGTATCTTATCAATACCTCTTGATATACTTGCTGTAGTCGGGGAGGAGTTCCCCGGCCAGTTTGGCGGATATGGTCTGAGGAGAGACATCTGGTGAGAAGACAGCCTTCACGTATTCGGCACTATTGGTGAATTTCTTCAAAGAACCTGTCAATAATACAACACGATACTTACAACAGGAGATAATATCAAGAAGCACGCTTTTACCATTTAAGTTATTTTTCAGAGATTGCGATACTTGATAAAGATGAAAAAAACAAAGCCGTTAAACTGATAGAAATCACAATAGATATTTTAATGTCATAGAGGTATAGCGACTTTTTCATCTGAGGAAAACGGAAAACTACCACATTTTCATCTGTTTCACTTCACCTAACTAAATATGGGCATAATATGAATTATACATGGTAAATTTAATCAAATAATTTTGGCCACAATAAACTCATCTTTTCAGCAAAACAAGGCAAAATTGTTGTTTTTCATGAAAAATTACTCACAACATTCCCACCAAACTTCCTTATCTGGAAAGCTCTGAGTCACTACAGGATATTATTCAGAAAAAAAGGAGATAATTTTCAAAAATGGCTTGTCCATAGCAATAATGGTCCCTTTTGGTCAAGTCATACATTAGTCAGAGTACTTTATACATAAATAATCATAGGAATTGTGGGAGGCAAGGAGATAATGGAAACACAACCTTTTTAACCTGAGCGTTTAACTTGATACCTGATGTACAAGATAAAACACAGGGAGGCTCATCAGTTCTCAGTCAGGCTTTAAATATTGAAGCATTCAGGCTTATACAGATATTTAAACAAAATATAACATGAGATGTTGTTATATAAATATAAGATGTCATTTTTTCAATATCCATTTTATTCCAGGGCACAGTTTTTACTTGGAATGACACTTATATAGGCATAATTATAGGTTTTTTTTCTTTTAAATTTCATTATTAGTAACATGTTCAACAACACGTTTATATTATGATAAGTGCAACAATGTGTGTGTGTGTATGCACACGCGCGTGCATGCATGCATTCTTAGCTTAACGAAAATGAACTAGACGTACCTCCCATCTCTGAACCAATATGCAACCTTGACCAAAAACCATCTATCATAAACGCATTGGTCATCATTTCCTCCACATGACCACGCTCACACAAATGTTGGTTTTATAATAAGTTTGATCAGTATTCCTGGACACGAAAAACACAATAAAACAAAGCCCGCACTGTCGAACACAAATCAACCTTTTCCTGCTCAAAAACAACAAACTTAACATATCTGACCTTAATAGGCTAAATCCCATCAGGCCCCCTCCCGCCCTGTCATTATATAATGTAATAGGGGAAAACTGTGACAATGTGCAGTTTTCATAATTTATGGGACGGAGCAGGAATCTGTACTTACAGAGGGATGACATCTTTTCATTTTGGCGGGAAAAGTGCCATATCACGGATTTTCCTGATGTAAATGACAATTTTCCCATACTTTTCAATGGTTTATGAATTTGTTCAGATATTCAAAGTTAAGTGATTGTTTTTTTTTTTTTTTCATGAGTGGTTTTTGCAAAATCTCTTAAGAGATTACTATGGAGGATAGCCATCTACGAATGTCTACGTGGTCAGATGGCAAGCACAGATTTCAGAATAATTGTGATAACCATGGTTCTGGTGTTAAAATAGAATTTATTAAACTTTTATGTGTTGTTTACAATGTATATTTTGAGGAATTTTGAATCTCATATGAAGAGATGTTAGCTGTTTTCATATATATATATATATATATATATATATATATAGAGAGAGAGAGAGAGAGAGAGAGAGAGAGAGAGAGAGAGAGAGAGAGAGAGAGAGAGAGAAAGAGAGAGAGAGAGAGAGATGGTTTTGCCCAATGCATGACGAATTCCAATGAAAATTGATTCTTATTTTTCATTAAACTTGGTGGGTGTTTCCTCATAAATGCACCCCATTATTCTTTTAAACAATAAAACCTCTTACTGTCTTTATTAAATATTTTATGATTATTGTTTTCAGACAATAGGACGAGGATATTAATCTTTTTGGTTTATATCTACAGCTTATTGTAATCAGTGATTTTTTTAAAAAAAAGTTGTTCTTGAACTTCAAAACACTTCAAGATATATTTTTTTTGGAAAATTCCATGATATGACTAAATGAACGGCATTTTTTTTAAACATTTAGCTTGTTTAACCAGCAAACTTAGCCTAATAGATAAATTACTGACAAATACGGTTACCTCTTACACTTGAAGATTTTTTTAAAGACAAGTACCCTTGAGAACAAAGGTTCTTTGAGAGAAAAAAGTTCTCTGGTGCAGTTTTGAAAGATAAAAGGACATAGTTAGGTAACCCTGAGGTGACACCTTAATGATTCCCAACTTCTTGAGAATATTAATTCTCTTTTAAGATAAATGGCCTGTCTTATTAACCAGAGGTCAAGGGTCTTACCCTTTGGAATGGCAATTCTTTGAGAAAGTTTGAAATATGCCTAAATACACTGTACTTTGTAGCCCAAATGTCTAAGGTGACACAATATCTAAATTATGGGGAACTGTTTAAGAGGGACTTTTAAGAGTTAAACAGTGTATTCCGGTGTTCCTTTAATTATATACCAGCAAATGGTCCTTTTCCAGTTCAATTTTGGCTCTCTTAAGTTTCTGTATAAAACAAATTTGGGGGTAAAAATATTTAACTACATCAAAAACCTAAGTCATTCATTCAATGCTGTATTCTTTCATTCATTCATCTTCATTCATTCCTTCATTTTAGCCAAAACTGTCCATGATTAAGCACATGCACCAGCTTATGTTCCAGCTATCACAACTTCACCCTGTGATAAGTGAAAACTTACAAGATCATTACCATCTCCAAAACTGTCCCTCTAAAACAGTTCCCCATAATTTACAACAAATCTAGTCAGGTTTCACTTCAAAAGAATAATGATAATGATAATTATCTTCAGGGCTGAGCTCTCAGGCATCTAGGCATCTACGTAACGATCTTGATTTCCATTGTGAAAGTTGTCTTAATTCATGCAGATGAAGAGAAGCATGAAACTAATGAAATTGTAGAAACAATGGAAAACCTGTGTTTTACCATTTTATGAAATCCCCATTATTTTTCCATTGCATGACTACTTTATGTTAGGAAATGTGGAATGTCTTTTGTTTTACAAAGTATTTTTCTTTTAATATATATATCCTTTTGCTCCGTCTGATGTGAGAGATAAGACTTACAAAAGAAAATAAAAAGATGAAATCTTGACATTAAAATATGCAGGCCACTTTTAAGGTGATTGACTTACAAAATAAAAATTGTCCAGCACAGGGTACAATTTCTTACTAAACCTCTAAGTCATAAATAGTTTTTTGAAAAAAAATAAAAAAATAAAAAAATAAATAAATTAAAAAATAAAGAAAAAATTCTTTTAAAGCAAAATGCTCAATGAAAAATAATCACTCCAAAAACGTCTTCAAAGACCTTGCTTACAAAATAAAAAAAAAAATTGCGTAAGCATGTGTACATACACACGCCCGCGCGCACACACATACACACACACTCAAAATGTATTTAAAACCACTTCACACATAAAAAACAAAACACAAACAGCTGCCAGCTTTCAAGCCATCAAAAAGAAGAAAACCAGATTTTCCTGCATTTTGATCCAAAGAGCAACCCACAAAGTCAACAAAGGTGCTTTTGATGATTTCAGCCCAGGTGGCATATCTTTTTTTCACTCTTCTCTTTCTTTTTCTTAAAAAAACAAAAGCATCCATCCCTACATGACAAGGGTGACTTGTTAAAAAGAAAGCTTTACTCTTTTGAAGAATAAAAGGACCTTTATCTAAAAAACCTAGTGGAAGACAGTGCTGGGGGGGGGGGAGAGAGAGAGAGAGAGAGAGAGAGAGAGAGAGAGAGAGAGAGGATGAGATTTGAGGGGGGGGAGGACAGGGGTAATTAAAGGTCCGTTTCTTAATGACATCATCACATAATCAAATAAATTAACCGTAGATTTAGCAATCTGCAACTAGTGGGATATTCCTCAGACCAGCAAACCTCTATCTGTACTAGCACCAAGTTGGATTGAGTGTTTTTAAAACATTACATGTCAGTGACTTACCTATACCCATCTGCTGTTGTTTTCAAACATTACGTAGCTACGTCATTAATAAAATACTATGTCATTATTTGTAGTTGTCATCTTAACATAAATGTGCTAAGACCAAGTTCAAGTTTGCTTACAGGAGTATGTGCATGAGCATGTACATATGTAAGCACGAGTGTCTGTGTCTGTGACTCAAAAGACTTAATTTGCAATCTGCATCACAATCTTTAGTATTCATGTGCACATCAAACAGTCTCCATCTTTTCCACACAAACCATACCGTATCTATCATACATTTCATAAATGACAATTAAGGGTTGTCTCTTCCTACTTCTAACTCTGTACCTTAGAGGAACCAGAGTCATGTATGTATTTAAAAATACATACAAAAGACAAAGATTGCTGGCAAGCAAGACGTCTTATTCCTATTGATCCAGAGTCTTCTGATCCACCCTAAAACTTATACTAAGGCATTTTGATTAATTTCTAACAGAGAATGAGAGGACACCCAATTTTTTTTTTATTTTTCTTTTTGGGCACAAGGATCCTGCAGTCGTTTGCTCAAGATGCTTCCTTATTTTAACATGAACATCAAGAATGAAAATCATGAAAAATATACAGATTCCTATCCACCAAAATATCCAGGGCCCACAAAGAAGGTATAATGTTGTTTTAAAAAACTCTCATTTCTGATGACATGTTTATTGCTCTGTGTCTTAGAGCAAATTGGTGCTATTTGACTGGGGCAAGTTGGTCATGCAGGGAGAAAAAAAAACATGTATTAAAGAGAGAAGCGAATCCAATTTATTATCAGTTGGCAAGCAAAACAAAGTCAAAGGGCAGAGCATTATCTGCCGATGTGCCAAATTTTGGGTTTACGACTTTTTCATCAGTGGAAACCATGCATTCCAATGGAAGAACACAAGTAAGGGTCATTGACAGTTGTTATTATGAAATTAATAATGGAAAAAAAGTAGTTTGTGTCCTTGACAGTTAGCTAATGTTTTCAGTGATAGTTTTCAAAGCGAACAGAAAATTTGAAAAAAAAAATGCCTTAAATAGTCAAAACTACATTCATCCACTGGCAAAAAAATAATAGAAAAAAAATAATAATAAATGATAATAAATAAATAAATATGCAAGAATGCGCCAAAATGCCTAAATCATTTGAAGCTTATGTTGGCATCCAGAAATGAACAAAAATTCAATCTAATAGTGAAACAGATGAAGAGATCAGACAACTCAGTAAGATAAAACATTTTTGTATGAAAACTCAAGCTGTGAACCACCTTAAATTAATTACAAATTTTGTGAAGAATTTAGGAAATAACACCCTTCCTTTAACTGAGCATCATAGGAAATTCCACAATCTTTCTCACATTTCGACTTGGAAAAAAACCCTTTTGATACATGTCTAATCAAACAGTAATAAAATAAATATAAGTGGGAAAAAGACTCTTACAAAAACAATTATTCTTCACTTTTAGAGCACTAATTATCATTCCTTAACATGTCTTTGTCTGTCTGTGGCCTCAGAACTATGTTTAATGTAAAAATATTCATCATAAAATCTTACCTTTCTTTGGCATTTTCGTTCTTATATCACCTATACATATTAATGAAGCATGTAAGTTTCTTTCATATCAAATGTTTCCTGTCATAAATACTTGAATGAATCCTAATATATGCATAGTGGTTTTAATGATGTTTTTAAGATTATTTTATTGTTTTGACTCTTAATCCAGAATATGTAATTCTTGGCTTTTTTAAGGAACTTAAAAAGTTCTAAATCAATCTATGACCATGAGGATTAAGAAAAATCCCCTTCTTCTTAGAAAAAGGAAATAAAACCAACCATCTTCCAAAACTGACCAGTTTTACTCAACTTAATGTTATCACATTCATAAATATCAGAGGAATAAACGAGAGATATAATACACTTTATATTAAAATATGATGCATTTATCATTTATCAAATCACCACAAAAATAGCTCGCTTCTCCCAGTGATCACGAAAGAAGAAATAAAAATGTGACACACACCCATTTGTTGAATAAGCTTGCTCAATTTCTTTTTCAAAACCATTTCATGCAGTGTACTTTTATTCATGTCATTTTACCCCTAAAAAGTCCCAGACGCTGTGAATGATGTCTTCTTATCTCTAATCACGTCAGCAAGAAGACAGTTTCTATGCAAACCATCAAATTTTGTCCAAGAATGCAACTTAAATTGTCATATAAAACAAATTAGGGGGTTTTGCTCAAATAACTTGAACATACATTTTCTTCTCCCATAAATTCCTTGGTAACCCTGTATATAATCTACATTCCCTTAAACGAAAAATGGACCTAACAAACTCAAAGTCACTTCAGGTTAGAGAAGGGTCTATTTTGATCAGACATGGGGTTGGTTTCGAAGCCTTCGAAATACTTTTAAAAAGCACCTGCTGTAATTTGCTGCTTCATTCTGTTGCCATGGAAACAACAGCATGAAGACATTCACTTTAATTCTATCTCTTCATCCAGCGAACCTTACCAGGCAACAAATATATAAGGCCTGCCACCAAACTTTGTACTTATAAATGATTTTTTTTCCACTGAGTATTTCATCTTAACATTTATATAAAAGCAATTCAGAAAGACACTTTTTGTCCTTTAAAACTGTTTTTTTTTTTTTTTAAATTCCCATTGGGTTATTTTAAATGAAAGATGGAATTCCTCATCCATATTTAAAACTGATAAACTGGAAAGGGGGTAAGACATAAAATTACACAGAAACTGGTTCTAGTGGAGGGTTGGACTGATGAGTGGCCAAGGGGGGTGGGGGGGGGGGGGGTGGAATGCTTTCACTCACCCAAACCAAAACTCAATACAACTGGGATGTGGTCAAGAAGGGAAGAGTAAGGGTCATGAAGACCTGGCATGGCAACTTTTCTGAACCCCCCCCCAACTGTCCATGGAGGTATGTGTGTTGGACATGAGAGAATATCAATACATATGTATGTGTGTAAAGAAGGGTGTGGTCACTTACCTGAGCTGGAACTGGCCGGAGAAGCGACACTGGACTTCGGGGTCGGACTGGAAGAAGGGGTGGTCAGTTTAGGCACTGGGGGGCTGCCCACTAGGACACCTGTAAATATAATATACCACTTTATATCATCATACTGGAATAAGTGCTTATTTATAAAACATACAGCATAATTGACAATAATATACTAGAAATTAATTGTAATGTAATGTTAACATTATGAAAACTGCTTTTTTCTTTAAGCTAAGTGAATAGCCCCATGCATTCTTTACATTTTCTCTTTGTATACAAGTGCAAATGCAATTGTCACCATTTATTCTTTAATTACTCAGGGTGTAAAAATCCCTTAGATATTTATCCACAGGTAATAATAAGATAATATGATGATTTCAGGTCACAAAAATGTTGTATAATTAACCTCTCTAACAGATGATAAAATACACAGATTGCAAAAGGGCAAATAAAAAGCCCTCACCAATCTTAAAATCTAATGGTTACATGATCACCCACTGATCAATGAAAACATACATTTTGCATGAATTTGACACGTAACCCTGGCAACCTTTTTATAACAAGCCAGACAATGAATAATGGGCAGAACTCCACAGAATGATCACCACATCGATACCAAATCCATTGATTATACAGCAGGGACATGAATTTTATATGAATTTGTTCTGTAACCATGGAAAAGTTTTGGCCTGTCCCAGAGATTACATAAGCCATTTCTAAAGGGGAGATTGATTTTGTACAGTCAACAGAGCATGGGTATTATAAACATCAATAAAACACAAAAGGCAGATTAAACCACGTTATAAACTCAAGCTTTCCTCTTCAGCTTTAGTGAACAGAAAAGTCTATGGAGGAGGGTGAAGAAAACTGCCTCACTTCATTGTTAAGATCTGTGATGATTGTTTGTAAATGCCCATATTGTTTTTATCTAATGATTTGAGTAACTCACTGCATGATAAGTTACAGAGGAAGGATATAATAGAAGAGAGAGAGAGGGAAGGAGAGACAGACAGACAGACAGCGCCAGACGAGAGAGAGAGAGAGAGAAAGAGGGAGAGGAATGGAGAGAATGATCTTTTCTCTTAGTCTGGTCTTCAACAATCTCAAAAGCAAAAGAAAAACCCCTTGTCAACACTCTCATTTCAAACTATTCAAAGACATGTCGGACAATATTGTGTGTTGTACTCTCCTTTAAGTTAGCATTAAAGTAATACTCATGAATCACCCAAGGCATGCTATGCCAGTAACCATGGCAACACAATAACTACATGCGGCCACGTTTTGTCAAGATGGTTTCTTTACAAGGGCAAAAGAATGACAAATGTAGATCATTTTTGATCCTGCTTTAAGTTTCATTCTTCAGTGCACTCTATTAGTCCCCAGAGAAGAGCACAGAAACGCACTTCCCTTCTAAGAGGGAATGTGTACATCCAATAAATAACAGGCAAAGTTATGGCTCCTCTTCCTTCGGAAAGTTGTCTCCGCCTACAAGCTGACATTGTGTTATTTCCAGTTGTTTCTGATTGTACACCACAAAGCAAAGTTCCATTATCAATTACTGCTTACAATTTTGCTACAGTCAAGAAGGGCAATCATACTCATCTTGATCTTATTTGACTTTAGTACTTACAAAATATTACTAGTACTCTTATTGTGCATGTGTTTCATAAACTGACAGAATGATGTCATAAAAATTTTCAGAAAGTTACTTATGTAAACTAAAAAAAACCCCCAAAAATCAATGACATCACTGACAATGCTCAAATTCCTTCAACAATAACTTGACAAAGATCAAACTTTAACAATAATAATCATGGACAATTTTGTCAGATTGGAGACGCCCCCCCTTCCCCCTGAAACTCTCTCCACCCCAACAAACATTCATATCTCACTCACTATCTACCATCTCTACCTATTCTCTCCATTTTACCACCCCAAATTTAATCAAAATTGTCCCTGCTCTTGAGCCCTTATGACCTCCCAATCCTCTTATTAAAAATAATACTTCCGTTTCCCTCTAAAACAATTCTCAATCATTCCCAAATATTGATAATTTTGTCCAATTAACGCCTGTTGCTACCCAATACAAACTTGGTGTCGAGGACAAGATGGTGTTTTGTCCTCCATATGAATTGATTTTTGGAGAGGTCCTTGCTCGGCGGGGGTGGAAATAATGCAGTCATTCTTGAATTATTTACTTTTTTGGGGCAGCGACATGGAAACCGGGCCAGCTATTATAGAGAAACATGGAGAGGTGCTCCCAAATATTATCAATACAAATCACAGTATCTAGGCATTATTATAATCTGTTTGTCATGATTCCTATTGACAGGTACTGTGATATGGCACACCTGAGAGTTTTAATGGCAGTTTTGGGGGGGCATCTTACTGAAAATTATAAAATGCTCTACTTTTTTTTTTTATTAAGAATCATGAATGAAAATGAGAATTTTGCATGATATTATGTCATTGATCAAGGCAAAAAAAAAAAAAAAAAGGATTTGGTTTCAAGCAATATTCAGTTGAATGAATTAAGTCGTGAGTAAGCACGGTTAATTTTTTTTCCTTTCGTAAGTGTTTTTTATCCCACAAACTGACCTTTACTCCAAATCAATTTGTAAAGAGATCAATGACAAAGTGGCAAAGTTAATTCACAAAATACTCTATTACATTCTTACTACCAAAACTGTCACAGTAAGAACAAGACACAGGTAAAATTTTACCTGCCATTTTAAATAAATTGTCACTTAAAACTTTTCTTACCAAAACATGACTCCCCTGTTGCCAGGTGTAATGTTTTGAATGCACCAAGGTCTAATATTTACCCAAAGTCATGGTTTCTGACCCACCAGCTTTTAATTGTGGTGCTCATAGCATCCTTCTTTCTTTTGGAGCTTTTCTTTGCTTGGCATAATATTTCAGCAAAAACTTGTTTGTTTGTTTTTTTTTTTTTCTAAAAAGATGCATTTACGAATAAGCAGTAAGTCAAAATACTTAGCTCTAAAGCATGTAATTTATACTCTCAGCATAAAATATCACATTCTTGTCGTTTTACTTACATAAAAAAACCTTCACAAAAAATCTAGGTGCACTTGAACCAGAAGTGGTAATTCTTCTCAACACATTTAATTCCCTTTTTTGAATGATGGGGAACTTTGTTGAAAGTCACAATTGTGTTTTGACCTTGTAATATCTGTTTTAGCAGTTTCACCATTACTGGTGTCTGAGCACATTTCTAAACATAGAAAGTCCTTGAAAATTTGCACTTCATCTGCACCTAATCAATATTTTCTGACTTTAACATAGTATTAAGAGGTCCAAGTTAAAATTTATATATTTTTTCTTACATAATTCATAACCATAATGAAAGTGATGTTTTCATATGGTACAGATTATTCATATTTATTTCCTTAGAGCCTAGATCCAAATATGTGTACTAGCCTTTACAATGTAAAATTCAAGTTAAAGAAAAGGAAAACTGATGAAAAAATTATATGTTTCTAGCTTAAAGTCACTCGATTAATTATAAAAGCCATAGTCATAAAAAAATAAAAAAAAAAACATGTCAGAGACTTATAAATCTGAGTTATAAAATTTCCTGAAAAAATTCGTCTTTATTTCTTTTTCTGTTTTAAAGCCCGGGAAAGCTTTATTGAACAACAGAAGTGGAAAAGCATTCCATTCATTGGTGCTGCCACTTTTAAAAATATTGTTCCTTATATGTGACAAGTCTGACCTTGAATGGTGTTAAAAACAGATGGTCAGAGGTGTCTAACTACTTTGGTGGGGCAGCAGCCAGGAAGGGGGGGGAGGGGGGGGGGTTAAGTTGAGATGAGCTGACAGTATGGTGGCTCTTGTACAATTAAAGCTGACATAAGATAACTAATGAAATTATATCTTTAACATTTTCACTTCGCATGTTAATATTAAAATATCTTAAATAATTCAGGCTTAACTGACAGACTGTTTTATTTTTTTCATTTTGCCTTTGTATGTAAATCCATTAACAGTTTTGGTATTTATGTAAGCAATTACTTATATATATATATTTCAAAATTAGTTTAAAAATAGTAATAATTGTAATTCTAAGCTAATGATCTAACACCTGGCTATATGACCTATTACTCTTCTTTATTAGCTTTAGGGCCAAGGCACTACCTTTACATTCTCAGATGCCACAAATAAAAATAATTCTAATGAGGACTTAATAAACCCCACCCCAAAAGTATTTTGCCAAAGGGTCTTCCATTAGAAAAAAAAAAATATAAATAATAAAAATATGAAAAAATAATAATAGTCTAAAATTCAGAAATGAAACAAATTTGAACTTTTTAATAATCTAACCAGAATTTATCTAAAATGGCAAATATGCTACAAAAGATAAATAGCTTTAGTTGTCCTTGCATTTTCTTGTTCTCACACAGCCATTCCTTGTGTTTCTGCCTTGTTGTGTATAATTTATTCACTTCAAACAATACTCTGTAGTCCCTTCCCAGTGAGTTAAGAGCAAAGACATTGTACTGAATGTGATAACAGATCTTCATCAAATATGTGGAAATACAGATTAATATCCATTATATATAATTATCAATAATATTTACTATACTGCTTCCTACAATGCATTAGAAAATGAGTTTTGAATGCATCATACCTAGCCATAAAACATCCCCCAAAGCCCTACCTCTGTATATCATATATAATGCCAAATTCTCTTGATCTTTAACCACTATAAAAGTGATTATTCAAGAAAGTTTTTTTCCCAAGAAACTCAACTTTCTTCAGGCTGGAAAAGACAGGATGTTGGGCCTATTAACTTGGGATATGCAGGCATCTCATGCACTTCACGCACAGATGTAATGACTTTGTAGCAAAGAGCTGAATTATTATATCGAAAAGAATTTATCTTTTATTACTTTGTCATTGCTGTATGCCCTCAGCGAAATTAGAACAGCCGATTATGGATGTAATGAAATTTTCAGCAATTTCCACAAGCAAAGTTCACACCGGAGCAGGCTAGTGAAGGCAGCTGTTGTTTTTGAATAAAATGCTAATTTCATCTATCAATTTCATATCTTAAATGAGTACACATG